ATGAGCAGCTAAATGTGTATCTCAGTCAACAGTGATCACGCTGTAACATTAACTGAGACTGGAATAAACTGGGATAATATCACACAACTGAAGGATTTCTTCAGTTTTATCAGCAACAGATTGCTCGTTGTTGAACTGGAAAGTTGCTGTTTAATGTCTGCAATGTGACTGATTTAACTGTAGATATGCAGATATGATACCTGTAAATGTTTACTGTATTTACAACATGTCAAACCTTTATTCTGATAGAGCAGGCCAACACACACAGCAACAGGAAACATGTAGCGTCCTCTTTGTTGGTAGTTGCCTAGCAACAGTGTTCATGTAAGGAGCCCAACATGTCATTAGTGGATGTATTCTTGTGCTGCAAATGTGACTTTATCAGTTTAATCTGAAGGAATTAATAGCACCATTAAAATAATGAGTGATGGACTAGTTAGCCTCCTGCTTCTGACTCATGAAGGTGACATCGTTTTGTCCTCCAGCACACTGACGGGAGGCCAATGAGCTATACAGCTACTATTATGCTGAATGTAGCTAGCTATGATAGTAAAAAGTGCGGGCGCTGGCATGTTTATTAACTGTGCTTTCATTCTAAAAGTTGTAAAGAAACCAAGAGATGTACATTTAATAAAGCCCTGGAGAGCAGGAGTGGATGAACCTGGTGAAAGAGTGACCACCTGTATGGGACGCTCTAAGAAATATAGCCAGCACACCCACAACAAGGCAGGGATCATTTCATTGGCCAACGCTACACCTGGCATTCTATTGGTTGGGGGATTTTGCCAGAGTTGTTGGACAACAAGTTGGAGAGCAGAGCAGAGATCTGAGAGCAGATGATTGAGGAACGAACAGAAGGAACCTGAGTGTGAGGAGTAGAGCTCAAGCTGGAGCGCAGGAAATCCCTGAAGGCAACATTATATCTGAGTGAAAGCACACAGTTTGAGCAGAAGCAGAGCAAATCTAAATGCTAGCAGGGGCTGTTTGATTTTTGAGGGAGAGAAAAAACAAAACCTGAATCAATTAATTTTGCTCTCAAATTAAAGACCATGTTTTTGATTAAAGATAGAAATAAAGCTCCACAGCTGGCACCATAATGTTTCCTGTGTCAAAACAGAGAGAAACAGAGCAAAAACAAATCCCACAGTCCTTTTCCTCTGTTCTCTCTGGTCATGTAGCACCAAGTTTAAAAGTGTTTGTGTCTTTCTACTGCAGACAGCCCAGTTTTATGAAAAGACCATCTTTCCAGCAGTGAAATACTTCTTTAATAACCGTTGGGTAAGGTTAGCTGTGTGATGCTAACAGTTAGCCTGTCACTGTGTGTGTGACTGTGTCTGAGGCGTGGAGCTCACACTCCTGCAGCAGGAGTCTCATGATAACAGAGAGACAGAATCAATACGCTGCACGCAGCTCCACAATGAAATGAGATCTGACCTGTTTTTAAAAAGTCACATTTGTGGTAAAGTTGTGGTGATTGGATGAATTTGAGTTCAGTGTTGTGATGTCAACCTCCTGGAGGAAGTGATCAATGAACAGATGATAGATGAATAACTGCAGCTGTATTGTGTCTTCTTCTCTCCATCAGATTCCTGTGAACTCACCATCGACACAAACACAGTAAACATATTTCTCAAACTGTCTGACAACAACAGGAATGTGACATATGTGTTGGAGGTTCAGTCATATCCTGATCATCCAGACAGATTTGACAGGTGTCCTCAGCTGCTGTGTAGAACTGGTCTGACTGGTCGCTGTTACTGGGAGGTCAAGTGGAGAGGAGAGGTTTACATATCAGTGAGTTACAGAGGAATCAGGAGGAGAGGAGACAGTGAAGACTGTGTGTTTGGACAAAATCATTGGTCCTGGAGTCTGTGGTGCTCTGATGGTGGTCGTTACTCTGTCTGGCACAATAACAGAAGAACAGAGCTCTCCTCCTCCTCCTCCTCCTCCTCCTCCTCCTCCTCCTCCTCCTCCTCTGGTAGAGTAGCAGTGTATGTGGACTGTCTTGCTGGCACCCTGTCCTTCTTCAGAGTCTCCTCTGACACACTGATCCACCTCCACACCTTCAACACCACATTCACTGAACCTCTTTATCCTGGGTTTGGGTTTGGATTCTGGCCTGGTTCCTCAGTGGTTCTGTGTTCTCTGTAGGAGTGAGAGTCTCCTCCTGTTAGAGAAACCTTCTCACACTGAACACATCAGTTGAGTCTGTACATGATTGTACCTTTACACCTGCTCTTAGGATTATGGTTCTTTACACATCTCACTACACTGATGAAGGTAAGTTTTATTTGTTTTAGCCATGGCAAGGGAAGCAACACTTGGGCTTGTTGCATGAGCTTCTTTCTTACAATTTAAGATGTGATGTCTGAAAAGGAGGTGATGACAAACTTTACAAACACATTCAAGTCCTGTGCTAGACTTCTGTGAACATTTTGACAGCATTGTCCATGAAATTCATTTCTTCACAGTTCTTGGAAGCCCTCTCTGTATTATGTATTTTCACTTCAATACAATGATCACCATCTGTGGAATACTTCTTATTAATAGCCAACTTTTTCTCCTTACAATTATCCTCATCTATGGCATACCTCTCTTTACTTGCCAAAATTCTCCATATGAGAAACAGCACAGTTTTCTGTACATTCTTGTGCAATGTCATTGACTTCATTTACATTTTGTGTTGTTAAAGTTCTACCACTGGGTGGACAGGAGAAATTGAAATATCTTTCTGCATGTCTTTGAATGCCTTTGACTATTGCACTGCGCACTGGAAACAAAGTCCTGCATCTCATCACAAGCTGGTGGTATTTCACAAGTCACATATCGGTCCACAAACTCTGCAATAACGTCATCATCATTTTTGTCAGCTCAAGGAGTATTTTTCACCCAGAAGATTGCATGTGTCTGAGGTAAACCACAGGCTTGAAATTCCATCTGGTAAAAATAATCACGTACTGTAGGTTTAGCTGGTGACATATTGACTTCTCTCAGAAAGATACAGAAGTTATGATCAAACATTTGAGCAGCTCTAAAAGGATTTCACAAGACCACATCTCTGAGACTAGTTCAATTGATAAAGATTCCTGTTCACACCCATCTGCTTAAGGAGACTCAGTCAATCACTTCTTTCCTCCTCTGATCAGCAGAAAAAGCAAAACCATGCTGGGAATGCTAGTTGTCTGACCTTGCAAACAGAGCCTTCTGACCCCTTTGCCAAAATTATGGTGTACCTTGGATTGGTTTGAGTAATGTTGATCTATAAACAGGTTTCATAATGTTCTGAAGAGAATCCTGATTTGTGAACTTCTCTTCAGTAATGTTAGCATGACGGCTTGAGCTACATCCCTTTCTCAAAGCAATTGACACATTTGACATGATTTGGTGAAGTTCATATAGATATTGTACAAAGATGTATTCAAGATTCCTTGCTAACTTAACCTCAGCATCAAGAATGCTTGCATTGAAATACTTGCAATACTTATCAAAAACAATTTTTCTATGGCAGGTATAGCAAATCCAGATTGTACCTTTAGCTTTGTTCTTGAGATTTCAATACATAGTACACATCTCACTGCACTGATAAAGGTAAGTTTTAGTTGTTTCAGCCATGGCAAGGGAGGCAAGGGAGAGCTTTATTCTTGCAATGCTTGATGTCTGAAAAGGAGGTGATGACAAACCAAAAAAACTATATTCAAGTCCTGTGCTAGACTTCTGTGAATTTTGACAGCATTGTCCATGACCTTCATTTCTTCACAATTTTTTATAATCACTTTCTGCATTTTGTATTTTTACTGAAATAAAATAATCAAAATGTGTGGCAAACTTCTCTTTTATTGCCATTTTTTCTTCATGGTGATCCTTATTCATAGAATAGTTTGTGTAAAAGCCTGTTAGAAGTCATAACATACCAAAAAACTGTGAAAAGCAAACTGAGTGAGTTAAGTATGTCAAATGAATTGTAAGAACAAATAAATATTTGCAAAAGTCACAGTAAAGTATGTTGAAAATAGTGTGTCAGTGTATCCAAGAACTGACAAGAAAACTCATGGAACAGCATTTCAAAGAATGATAGTATCCACCTCCACACCTTCAACACCACATTCACTGAACCTCTTTATCCTGGGTTTGGGTTCTTCTGGCCTGGTTCCTCAGTGTCTCTGTGTTCTCTGTAGGAGTGAGAGTCTCCTCCTGTTAGAGAAACCTTCTCACTGCTGAACACATCAGTTGAGTGTGTACAGGATGTCACACAGCTGATGTTAGTTCTGTCCCACCATGTGTCCCTGGTTAGATTCTGGTGGGGGACCTTTGCTTTATGTCCCACCCCTCTCTGTCTCTCTCTGTGTCCATGTTTGCTGTCTGCAGCCCCGACGTATCTGTAAAGGCAACATGTAAATGATGGATGATCAAATCAATCATTGTTTATGACACTGAACTTCTGAACACATTGTCCCTGACTGTGTGTGAATAAAGACTTTATACTGCTGACTCATCATTGTTTGTTGTGTCTCACTGATGTCAAACTTTACAAACTTCAGACTGACTCTACTTTTTCTACTGAGTCTGATAAAACAAGGTGACCAGCTTCATTTATTTGTTGTTTTACAGCACAATGAAATGTGAGCTGTAGCTCCTTCACACTGCGCGCACACACACACACACACACACACACACACACACACACACACACACAACATATACACACATTTACATTAGATAATAAATATAGTTACATATATGGAAATGATGAAATAACCAGAATCAGTAAAATCTGTTTAAAACTCATTTCAGCTCTAAGTTTGACTTTTCTCCGTCTAATCCGTCTCTTCTGTCTTCATGTCTCTCTTGTGTTTTCTGACTGCTCGTCTGCTTGGTGCTCTTTGCTGCTGTGGAGCTTTCTGTCTCCAGGGCTGCAGACCTGTTTGGAGGTTCATCAGCAGATGGAGTCACACCTGGGCAAGGTATGTGTCTCCTACATATAAGCCAGAGCAGCAGCTAGTCTTTGGGCACATCTCCCCGCACCACACAGCTCTTTGTTTTACATTTTTACTCCTCCTCCTCCTTCCCTGTCACTACTGAACTGACTGATTCATCGGTTTATCTGCTTCCATTATTTTGATTATTTTATAGCAAACTTTATTCATTTAGAAGTTTTTCCACTTTTTTGTGATCAAACATTTGAGCAGCTGCAACAGAATTATTCTCAGAGACCAGTTCAAATTATCAACAATTCTATTCATACCTTCTTTCTTAAAATGACCCTCAATCCCTCCCTTTCTCCTCAGATCAATAGAAGGAGCAAAAACATGTTGGAATTCCAAGTAGTCTTGCCATAGGAAAGAGATGCCTTTTGAACGCTTTGCCAAAAGTTTTGTGTTCCTCGGATTGGTATAAGTAACTTTTATCCATCATCAAATTCAGAGATGTAGTCCAGATTTCTTGCAGCCCATCATCAACATTAAGCATGCATATACAAAATTATATACACAGTGTGAATTTCTCTTTAAAATATATATCTTCCACCTAGAAAAGAGTTTGAACAAATGTTTCTTCATTTGTTTCATCCAGTAGAACTTTGATAGGACTGTTCTGCTGGACCAACAGAAAACACACAACTGAAGTACTGACCACAGACGTCTTGGGCCACATCAACTGGTTTTAAACACATGTCCATCAACATACTATGCTGGTATCCATCAAAGACAGATTTGTCATTGTTGTGTTCATCTGTTATTTCCTCAGGAATCTCAACATCAGAGCAACATTTTGAGCAGTGAGTTTACCAAAAGAATTTTTTCTATAGCAGGTATGGCAAATCCAGATTGTACCTTTACACCTGCTCTTAGGATTATGGTTCTTTACACATCTCACTACACTGATGAAGGTAAGTTTTATTTGTTTCAGCCATTGCAAGGGAAGCAACACTTGGGCTTGTTGCATGAGCTCTTTCTTACAATTTAAGATGTGATGTCTGAAAAGGAGGTGATTACAAACTTTACGACCACATTCAAGTCCTGTGCTAGACTTCTGTGAACATTTTGACAGCATTGTCCATGAAATTCATTTTTTCACAGTTCTTGTAAGCCCTCTCTGTATTTTGTATTTTCACTTCAATACAATGATCACCATCATACTTCTTATTAATAGCCAACTTTTTCTAGATAGAATTATCCTCATCTATGGCATACCTCTCTTTGCTTGCCAAATTTTCTCCATATAAGAAACAGCACAGCTTTCTGTACATCCTTGTGCAATGTCATTGACTTCATTCACATTTTGTGTTGTTAAAGTTCTACCACTGGGTGGACAGGAGAAACTGAAATATCTTTCTGCATGTCTTTGAATGCCTTTGACTATTGCACTGCGCACTGGAAACAATGTCCTGCATCTCATCACAAGCAAGCGGCATTTCACAAGTCACATATCGGTCCACAAACTCTGCAATGACATCATCATCACATTAGTCAACTCTATAATAATAATAATGATGATAATAATAATAATAATAATCAAGTACTTTGCCAATAGGTTTAGCTGGTGACATATTGACTTCTCTCAGAAAGATACAGAAGTTATAATCAAACATTTGAGCAGCTCTAAAAGGATTTCACAAGACCACATCTCTGAGACCAGTTCAATTGATAAAGATTCCTGTTCACACCCATCTACTTAAGGAGACTCAGTCAATCACTTCTTTCCTCCTCTGATCAGCAGAAAAAAGCAAAACCATGCTGGGAATGCTAGTTGTCTGACCTTGCAAACAGAGCCTTCTGACCCCTTTGCCAAAATTATGGTGTACCTTGGATTGGTTTGAGTAATGTTTATCTTTAAACAGGTTTCATAATGTTCTGAAGAGAATCCTGATTTGTGAACTTCTCTTCAGTAATGTTAGCATGACGGCTTGAGCTACATCCCTTTCTCAAAGCAATTGACACATTTGGCATATATATACAGTACAGGCCAAAAGTTTGGACACACCTTCTCATTCAATGCGTTTTCTTTATTTTCATGACTATTTACATTGTAGATTCTCACTGAAGGCATCAAAACTATGAATGAACACATGTGGAGTTATGTACTTAACAAAAAAAGGTGAAATAACTGAAAACATGTTTTATATTCTAGTTTCTTCAAAATAGCCACCCTTTGCTCTGATTACTGCTTTGCACACTCTTGGCATTCTCTCCATGAGCTTCAAGAGGTAGTCACCTGAAATGGTTT